TCAACAAACGTCTCTAAAGTTTCTCCTGATTTGACAGGATATATTGTTGCAAGTACTTTACCTCGAATGAGCTTGTAAACTTCAATGGATACAAGAGAGGGACGTACAGCACAGCAGCAATCACAATGGCCGCCATCAGGCCAAAGAGATACACGAAGTACTCAGTGCCCTCGCTGTACATCTCAGCGGGGGTTCCCAGGATCAAGATGGCGGACATGAAGGACACGAGGATGGAAATGGCGACGGGAACAATTTGCATGTCTCTTCCGCCCATTAGAAACTCTCCTGTTGTTTTCTGTTTGTTTCCCCAGCAGGCATAGAAGATGCCGATTGCTGCGGACACAGCCAGTATGAGGGAAAACACCACATAATCTGCTACTCCGAAAACTCGTTGCTCTTCTGCCATTTTCCCCAGCAATAAGTGAGATGATTCCTAGTGTGTCCTTTAGACATTCGTGCGGAATTAGAGATAGACCCGATCATTCCTAAGCACCGTGTGGAGTCACGTGATTTGAGGACAATACGGCCATAAATTTGCTTCTCTCATTAAAAACTGATTTATGCGTTTATAGAGGTATAAACGTGAAGTTCCGCGTAGGGACGTGTGCGCGCCAGTATCTAAGTATGTACTGCATCAGATGCATATATCTTCAAATAGTCCCTCATGGCGCAAGGCGTTTTATTTTTTACCTCCATAAAGGCCAAGGTAACGCGAAATGGGGTTTAATGTCGCTTCCATGATTATTGCACTTACATAGCGACATGCATGTGTGTGTGGCTGCTTGTACTAGTCCTGACCATGGCCGGTTTTATAGTGCTAGCCCACTGAGAGACCACGCCGCAGTTTTGTCACGAATACCTCGCTCAGACACAGTGTACACTCTGCTAGGCAGGGTAACAACAAATAACATGTTTTCATATCTTTTTGTATAACGCGGCAGGGGATCGAACCACTAGCATTCCACACTCAGGGAAGACGCTCCATCCACTCAGCGTTTTACCACTTTGGAGAATCGCACGTGCACGGATATGACAAACCTAGAAACATAATCAGAGCGAACCGAGATTCGCATCCACGAGCATAGGTATCGGGCGTGCCCACAAGAAAAGAATGATTTTTGAAGAACAGAACGGTTGCAGTTTAGACAGGAACTATATGTAAGTAGCGACATTAGTCCCGTAAACGCCATGGTTCACAATCAGTCAGTCAAATGTATAAAATAACTAAAAGTTGATATGTGCACAGACCGCCTCCGTGGTCTAGTGGTAGAGCGTCCGCCCGGAGAGCGGAAGTTCCGGAGTTCGATCCCCGGCCGCGTCATACCAAAAGACGTTAAAAGATGGTACTTGTTGTTTCCCTGTCTGGGGCTCGGCATTAAGGGGCTAAAACAAGGAATGGTCGGCTCGGAGTCAGTATACTGTGTCTGAGTGGGGTATTCATGTTAAACTGCGGCATGGTATCTCAGTGAGCTAGCACTATAAATCGGCATCAGTCCGGACTAGTACAAGCAGCCACACACACACGTGCATGCACGTCGCTATATAAGTGCAATAATCTTGGACGCGACGTTAAACCCCATTTCACCTCACCTCACCTGATATATGCACACTATACATTTATAGGGATAGAGAACTCGACCATTCTCAGTAGGATGCCAGTCCTCTGTTACAGGATGATATAATCTCAATAGTGAGCCAATCCAACCAAGCGTGCTACTACTCACTCTGGTTGTCAAGGCAACGCGTGGCTAGGCTCCTGCAAACTTACAGGAACTGCCTGTGGTACCAAAGTCACGTCCCAAATTATATGGCGATAGATTATATTATCGATATGGAACAATCTGACACAAGAACTCTGAGAACAGAAAACCTGACAAACTTTAAACAGGCACTTAAGAACTTTCTCTTCAAGAACGCCCTTATCTTCCCGAGGCAAGCGTGTCCACTAGCTTGTATCAAAGCCTAGTTTCTACAAGATTTTGATAGAAAGGCTAGTGGGCGCTCTAGCCTCGGGAAGATGGGGAGTCTTTGACTAGATCAGTCATTGTGTAAGCGCATTTTGGCAGTTGTTAATTGGAAAATGCCCTTTACAAATTCTACATTTTATTTAGTTTAATATAATTTATTCACAATGTAAAACTAAGATATTTTCTTTAGACCGGAGTCTCCTGTGTCAGACCGGAGAAAAAAACACCTTCAATTACAGGATATTAGTAACATCATTTTATTTGTTTATTAGATATACAGATATATCATTGCATAAATTATCACCATTAAATATCAATACAAGTATGGATGAATGTATGAGCACATCCCCGGCTGTAGGCTGGTCATACTGTTTAGCGTTTGTGCGCAAATACCTACACGGTTGTCAACAAACACGGGAGAACAGGATACATCATTTTTGTCACTGATTCGAAAAATTTGGAAATGTCCTCAGCATCTCGACCGTAAAACGTTTTTAAAAGCCTTCAATTCTGTTACCCTGATCAAGCAATTTCTTAGCAAGACTCGCTTGACGCTCTTTAAAATCATCGAAGAAAAAGCATGCTCCATTGTACCTAAAACATGCATAATGTAGACACCAAAGGTTGGAACTGCAGGAATATTGCTCGACGTAGAGGGAAATAGTAGAAAGTCATCCCTCTTTCCATACAGTCATGTGGATATGTTGTTGCTAGTTTGAATCCGTATGCATGGTTCTGAATATGAATCAGATTAGCCGGTTTCACTCTGGGAATGGAATTAGCTGTTTGAGCATCATTGTACAATATCAGATCGTCGATATAGATGAAGTTAAGTTTAGCTATTTGCACAAAAACAAGCATATTTTTTAGGTAATGACTTATTGTTGTGTTAGGTTTGTTTATATTATGTCAGCGCAAATGTGTACACGCCATTACGCTATGACGTCACGTTCCGCAGCATCGGAAGTGACATCATCACCATGTACCGCGTGTCAGTTACGCATAAATCCTCGTTCAAATCATACATCATGTTCCACCCAGTTAAGGTGCGAGTCGTACAGGTATACGAACATGACATACATGCCAACAATTACACCACAGCATGATGTCACGATTACAATGCCATTACAGTGTATACGAGCAGGACATACATGCCAACAATTACACCACAGCATGATGTCACGATTACAATGCCATTACAGTGTATCATGAATGACGTATTGCTTTGTCAACACAGTTTTCACTGTAAAATAAAAACTCCATTTATTCACACGGATGTTTTTGGGTGGCTGAGTGAGTGAGCTGTTCAGTTATAACGCAGCTTAGTGTGGGAGGAAAGTCCGATAGGATGCAGCTTTTAGGTGTCTACCACTTTGGTGAAATTTGGTGATGTGATGATAACAAACCTGGGATTCGAAACAGGAATCAGAGGTTTATGTGACCCTAAGGGACGTAATTCAGCAGTGCAGTGCGGCGTCTTGAATGATTGAACCAACCATGCTGTCCATTTCAATGTAAAGTGTTGATCATAAAGTGTTTACCACACCATTGTGAGTGGCCTACTGACAGCACCATATATAGTTCCTTCGATCCCCCTGTGTGTTCACTCTTGTCACCACAAGTACAACTCGTTGGATTATCAATCATCTTTTATTGCTGTGACACAGCACATGTTCAGTCCCTCTATACTTACAGCGTTGTCCCTATTGGGATCACGTGTTTAGCTATACACTATACACTGAAAGTATATTCGGTAGACGCTCGATTGCCAATACACACGTGCAATCTACCATGTGGTTTATAACTGACACACGCTTACACCCTGAAACCATTGCCCCGCGAGCCACATCAATTTTGGCTATCTATTTTCAAAATGTGGCTTAGGCGGCCTGTAACCAAAAATACAGAGTAGACGTTCTAGATTCACTGGTATAGTGGGCCTGCCCTGATTGAAAACCTGAGTTAGTTTGGCACATGGTGGACGATCCAGCTGACATCCCCTGGTTGAGTGTGGCACATGGTGGACGCTCCAGCTAACACTCCCTGGTTGAGTGTGGCACTTGGTGGACGCTCCAGCTAACGCTCCCTGGTTGAGTGTGGCACATGGTGGACGCTCCAGCTAACACCCCCTGGTTGAGTGTGGCACATGGTGGACGCTGCAGCTAACACCCCCTGGTTTAGTTTGGCACATGGTGGACGCTGCAGCTAACACTCCCTGGTTGAGTGTGGCACATGGTGGACGCTGCAGCTAACACCAACTGGTTTAGTTTGGCACATGGTGGACGCTCCAGCTAACACCCCCTGGTTTAGTGTGGCACATGGTGGACGCTCTAGCTAACACCCCCTGGTTTAGTTTGGCACATGGGGTACGTTCCAGCTAACACCCCCTGGTTTAGTGTGCCACATGGTGGACGCTCTAGCTAACACGCCCTGGATGAGTGTGGCACATGGTGGCCGCTCCAGCTAACTCTCCCCTGGTTTAGTGTGGCACATGGTGGCCGCTCCAGCTAACACCCCCTGGTTGAGTGTGGCACATGGTGGCCGCTCCAGCTAACACTCCCCTGGTTTAGTGTGGCACATGGTGGCCGCTCCAGCTAACACCCCCCTGGTTGAGTGTGGCACATGGGGTACGTTCCAGCTAACACTCCCTGGATGAGTGTGGCACACGGTGGACGCTCCAGCTAACACCCCCTGGTTTAGTGTGGCACATGGTGGACGATCCAGCTGACACCCCCTGGTTTAGTTTGGCACATGATGGACGCTCCAGCTAACACCCCCTGGTTTAGTTTGGAACTATGCCCTGTCAGTATTTGCGTCGGACACGCACAAATAAACCAACCACAATGTTAAAGTATTAAGAAAGTAATGTAAGGAAATTTATGAAAGGAATGTAAGCTAATGTACTGACCATAAATAAATGCTGTGATGTAAACAACAAAATTTTAGACAAATTCAAAGTACATTGCTGATTAATAACGCCATCAACTCAATCAGTTCCAAACTGTTGGTTCATGTGGTTCGATTTTCACTTACCGCAAATGCGCTTGTTAGTTTCAGTGGGTAAAGCATGGGGACATACAGTAGCGCAGACACAACACAGCCCGACATACTGGCGAGCACCTGCAGGTAAAACTGGGTCCCTTCCGTGTAAATCTCCGCGGGGAAACCAAGGATGAAGATGGCGGACATGAAGGAGAGTAGAATGGACATAGCCACAGGTATAACGCCCATATTTCCAGAAGCCATCAGAAATTCTTGAATTGAACTTTCATTCCTTGATTTGATGGCGTAGTAAACACCTATAGCAGCAGAGAGTAGTAACGTCAGTGAAAACACCACATAGTCCCACACTCCAAGATATGTCGTCTCCATGCTTAGAGAGTGTACACCTGTTAGCAGGTATATTCTCTGCTTTCAAGATGTCGTGAAGACGTCACACATTCCAGAGGTAGCTGGACACGCTATTACAGGAGCCGTGTTATAGTGTAGCTTGACTGGATGTGAACGTAACACGTCTCAGTGATTGAACAAACAGGTGAGTGTATTTGAAGTCCTCTGTTTCCTTGCCAGTGAGACTTGTGACTCCCCGACGGGGATCAAAGTCTGCACAAAAACACACACAGTCATTCGACAGGTTCAGTCACAAATATGATGTATGACATCCTTGACATTACCAGTTCAGTGCCCTTATTTTGAACAGTCATTGTGATTTTCATTTCTGTACTCAAACAGTATGAGTCTTTTACAAGTGTCAATAACAGGTATCTTGCTATATATTGCAAAGGTATCTTGCTATATATTGCATAGGTATCTTGCTATATATTGCATAGGTATCTTGCTATAGTCAACATAGGTAACTAGCTGTATACAGAAATAGGCTATTGTGACGTAAGACATCCATCAAACCCATAGCGCTCCGAGGGTGTTAATATTTAATCCTGTTGGACTAGCACTAATCATGTTGACATTTACTGGATGCTTTGAACGAGATTATGGTATCACTGTAGACGAGCTTGTTTGGGGCTAATCCTCAATGAGTCTAAATTGAAGTATTTGAAGAATGTTATTCTAATATAGGTGATGACAGATTTACTTAAATAAAATAGTTCAAGGCAATCTATAAAACTATGTAGACATAACTTTTGTCTTATTGAATAGTATGTCTGGGAGATGGGATAGTTTTACCTTAGGCTAGCATCTATCAAAAAAACTATAATTGAAACTACTAATATTTTGTATTACTTGCTGCTCTATAATTATATGAAATGGGATCGTGTTACATAAGGGCTTGTATTTGCTGAATGTTATTCTAATATAGGTGATGGCAGATTTACTTAAATAAAATAGTCCAAGGCAATCTATAAAACTATGTAGACATAACTTTTGTCTTATTGAATAGTATGTCTGGGAGAAGGGATCTTGTTACCTAAAGCTAGTATTTATCTCAAAAGCTTTAAATCTTTAAACTATGTAGACATAACTTTTGTCTTATTGAATAGTATGTCTGTGAGAAGAGATCATGTTACCTAAAGCTAGTTTTTATCTAAAAGCTTTAAATCTATTAAACTATGTAGACATAACTTTTGTCTTATGAATAGTATGTCTGGGTGATGAGATGGTTTTACCTTAGGCTAGTATTTATCTTAAAGCTTTACATCTTTAAACTATGTAGACATAACTTTTGTCTTATTGAATAGTATGTCTGGGAGATGAGATGGTTTTACCTTAGGCTAGTATTTATCTTAAAGCTTTACATCTTTAAACTATGTAGACATAACTTTTGTCTTATTGAATAGTATGTCTGGGAGATGAGATGGTTTTACCTTAGGCTAGTATTTATCTTAAAGCTTTACATCTTTAAACTATGTAGACATAACTTTTGTCTTATTGAATAGTATGTCTGGGAGATGGGATCGTGTTACCTTAGGCTAGCATCTATCAAAAAATCTATAATTGAAACTACTAATATTTTGTATTACTTGCTGTTCTATAATTATATGAAACGGGATCGTGTTACCTGAGGCTAGTATTTATCTAAAAGCTTTAAATCTATTAAACTATGTAGACATGACTTTTGTCTTTTTGAATAGTATGTCTGGCAGATGGGTTCTCGTTACCTCAGGCTAGCATCTATCTAAAAAGCTATAACTAAAACTACTACTATTTTATTACTTGCTGTTCTATAATTATATGAAATGTCGTATAAATGTTACACCATCATAACTTGTAAAAGCACTCCCTCTGGATCTAATTATTATATGAAAACTTAGTATAAATGCTATATCAAGTTTCATGGTCGAGCGGCCGCAGTTATAATTATGTAATAATACAGTATCGTTACCCGGTGAAGTATCGTCGGTTTCGATTCACGTCAAGACAACACACAATTCACTGACTAAGGAATCACTCAAAGTCAAAACACAGAAGGCGATTACTATAAAGGTCAGGCATCTTCACTGGTCAGTACACTACACCACTGACAGTAAACTGCTTGGCCGTAATCTCCCCTCTTCTTACTATTAAGGAAAGAAACGTTTACACATTGTGTTTTTGTACAGAGAAGTGTTCATTATTACCTATGTTAATATGAAAGATCGTCAACATAATCAACATAATTTGTATGTTTACGATATGCTTTTTACCAGAACTTGTATGTATTATGAATAGATGCTTTCTATACTTTGTATGTGTTATATGTGTCTAACAACGTGCGTTAGGCTGTTACAGAAACTATACTCAACAACAAAAGTTCCTGTGACACCAATATTTTAGTGTATTTTTCAAACAAGTAAGGTTTGGTTTTCAATATTGTAGTACATGTATGGAATCAAGTTACAAAAACGAAACTGTTACAAAAAAGCATGCATTCCATGCAAAAGTTGACTTTTATGCAAGCCCCATGCATTTCACTACCAAAGAATGGGTATAAAAACATGTGCGTTAACAGGATTCCATATGCATTGCTTAGCATCGTGCTGACAACAACCAATCAGAAAAACAACAAAATTACGCAATTATTCAACATTACGAAATGCCACGACTGTCCGAAAATGAGCGTCTTGGTGAGCCATTGGTATCTTTGAAGCAGGATCGTGTCAACGTGATGTTGCAAGACAATTTAACGTCCACAGAAACACCATTTGTTGTTTATGTCAACTTTGGCGACAGCCGAATGCAGTCAGAGACCATCCTCGGAGTGGCAGGCCACGCGTAACCAATAATCGACAAAACACTGGATTCGAACAACACACCTACGAAATCGATTCCAGCCAGCAACAGTGACTGCAAGAAGCATCCCTGGCCTTCGACGAATATCTTCACAAACCGTACGTCGTCGCCTCAGATGTGCAGGGACTGTTGCCAGAAGACCCGCCAGACGTCCTATTTTGACAGGAAACCACCGTCAAGCACGTCTACAGTGGTGCCGACAGCGTCTATGCTGGACGGCCATGCAGTGGGGACAAGTTCTATCCACTGACGAGTCTCGTTTTCACCTCAGCCACAGCGATGGACGGATTCGAGTGTACCCACGTCGAGGTGAACGTTACGTCAATCATTGTGTCATGGAAAGCGATCTGTTCGGGTGCGGCAGTGTTATGGTATGGACTGTTATTACAGCAAGACAGGGGATCCGTTTGATAGTGGTAGAGGGAAATCTCAATGGACAGCGGTACCGCGCCGAGATCATCGGCCATGTTGTTCTACCGTTTTCGCGTCGTCATGGCCCAGGCATTACCTTTCAACATGACAACGCCCGGCCTCATATTGCTTGACTCGTTCAGGATTCTCTTCAACAAAACAACGCGAATGCCATTCCCTGGTTGGCTCGCTCCCCTGATCTCTCACCCATCGAGCACAAGTGGGATGAGATGGATCTGCGCCTTCGACGACAACCGCGTGTTCCACAGACACTCCAGGAACTTCGAAACAAGCTCCAGCAGATATGGACAGATATCCCACAGGACTTTGTGCGACGCCTGGTCCATTCCATGAGACGAAGACCAGAGGTGGACACACACGCTATTGATTTGTAAATTGACATTTTGGCATGTTCATGTTTTTTTTTTTTATGAAATCACGCCTTTTCTGAAGTCAGTATGGCAAATTAAACCATTTGAACACTTGCAGGAGTTTTTTTATCTGTTGCAAACCGAAATTGTTTCAGATTTGGTAAAAAAACATAACTTTGCATTAAATCTTATTCAATGTCACAGGAACTTTTGTTGTTCAGTATATTACCCAATACTCAAAGTATTTTGATAGACATGACACAGCATTGATGAACTTAGAACACAAATGTAAAGTCGTTTTTAATCAAGTCCATTCATCAAATCCGACAGTTGCTACTTTTAGGAATAATGAATGCTTTTCACAGTGAAGGTGAATCACAGTGATCCTGCGGGTGTCAGAGGTTATGATCGCGGCTCCACGTGCAAATGCTCTTCACGTACATGTGACAATTTATTTATCTATGATTTCGGAAGCATTTTACGTTTTTATGATTTCTCAGGGATCAACTCAGATGTCATTATTTGCTTGTTTTCTTCTAAATATGTTTGTCTGGATTACAGCTCTAATTATCATTGACTAACTCACGTACAATTGTCAAAGTACTTTCGATACCATTTAATTGAAACAATTATATGTATCTCCAAAGTTGCCGTTTCAGTTTACGTCATCTCGCATTATAATAATGATATCTTAAAGCATGTGAGTGACGTTCTTACATCATGTAAGACTTGTGTGGCTTCAGGCAAATAGCGTAGCCCATATATCGTACAGTGTGTAATTGTAACATGGTTCCTACAAATTCAACTAATACTGAGTGAGTGAGTGAGTATGGTTTTACGCCGCTTTTAGCAATATTCCAGCAATATCACGGCGGGGGACACCAGAAATGGGCTTCACACATTGTACCTATGTCGGGAATCGAACCCGGGTCTTCGGCGTGACGAGCGAACGCTTTAACCACTAGGCTACCCGACCGCCCCAACTAATACTGACTTTCACTGCCTCATGCTTCGGCAAGCAATGTTTTGATGTTTTTTTACGCCCCACTTCCAGCAATACGACGACACTCGGCCAGACAATCTGGTGATTTCTATTACGACTAATGATCAACACCGCCCCTGTACGATGACACCCGGGGTGGTCGGGTAGCCTAGTGGTTAAAGCGTTCGCTCGTCACGCCGAACACCGGGCTTCGATTTCGACATGGGTACTATGTGTGAAGCCTATTTCTGATGCCGCCCCCGCCCCCCCCCCCCCCCCCCCCCCCCCCCCACACACACACACACACCCGTGATATTGCTGGAATATTGCTAAAAGCCGCGTAAAACCATACTCACTCACCCACACACGATGACACGCACAATTTGTTTTCAACCTAATCACCGATATCACCCGTCTTATAAACATGCCTCGAAGGTTGCATTAGTCTTACCTCAAACGAACTCGTTACTCTCAGTGGAAACAGCAGCGGGACGAAGAGCTGGGCAGCAACGATCGCCCCGAACCCCCCAAAAGCCTGCAGCCAGAACTCAACCCCTTCCGAGTATACCTCAGCAGGAGTTCCAAGAATCAGAATTGCAGACAT